CAGAAGCAGATGCCGAGGCTCGCCGAAAGGAAGCCCAGGATCTGCTGCAGCGGCATGAAGCCAACAGCATCGACAGACTCAAGTACTGGCATTTTCAACCGAACGGCGACGACGCAACACCGGAAGAAAAGCACAAGGAGTTCCTCTCCAAACTCGTGACGCGGTTGTTGTATGCTTGCAACTACCAAAGGTCAGAGTTGGAGAGACAGCACCGGGACCTGACGCAACAGCATCAGGAATTGGGGACGCTCCGCCGCACAGTGCAGAGCCACGTGGATGCAACTCGGGCACTCAATGCCCGATTGTTGGACCTGGAACAGGCTGTACCAGGACCAGCTGCTGGAGCTTCCAGCTGCTGGAGCTTCCAGCTGTTGGAGCTTCGAGCTGCTGGAGCTTCCAGCAGTGCACCCTCAAGCCGCCAACTGGAGGACCGCGTTGACCACGTAGTGGCAATGCTGGACGACATCAGCACCTTCGCTGCGTCGACCACCACCATCAGCAGTCAGCTGCATACATTGAAGACCGAGGTCCAGAAGCTGCAGTCGACGAACGCGGACGTCAATCCGAAGAAGTACAAGATGCCAACTTTCAACCTGGAGAGGTTCGACGACTACACGCAGCAGGATCCCGTCCTCTGGTGGGAAGCATTCACAACGCAACTCAGGATTCTGCCAGTAGCCAAGCAYGCGTACATCGGCGCCCTGTTCCTGAACTCAAAGGGCGGATGCCAGACCTGGTTGAGCCACCTGGCAACCTCCCACGGCGTCGACGTTCCAGACTTGAAGGACGTAATCACATGGGAGGAACTAACACGGCTGTGGAAGAAGCGGTTCATCGTCGACGACGCGCCGACACTCGCCATCAACCGTTTGTTCACCATGTCACAGGGCAACACAGCAACACGGGACTGGCTCACGGAGTGGCAGAAGATTGCGGCTGTGCCCAATCTGAACCTACCATTCGAGCATCTACGCCGTGAGYTCTACAACAGGTCCTGTGCGGCATTGAGCYAGGMTCTTGGTGATCGCGAGCAGTACTCAACCTTCGCGGAGATCATTGACAAAGCGAGRGAGATCATCAAGACCAACAGGTCAGCTGCACACGAGAAATCAACATGGCAGCCGACCTATGTGGAGAAGGCACGAACTGGTTCGCGACAACAGCACTTCGCTGCAGTCCAACAGGACAGTGGAGATAACCTAGCAGCCACTCCAGTATCAAGTGACGGAGATCAGGTGGCCGCTGTCCAGCCGCGAAGCACCAACAAGTCCCGTAACAAAAGGAAGGCGAAACCCGCATCGCAGGCCGGAAATGGACAGCCAGGACAGTTTCCATGGGTCAAGTTTGGTTTGACCGAGGCGGAGTACAAGATCCGCGACGGCTACGGCAACTGCTATTGGTGCAACAACACCAAGCACAAGACCTCCCTGTGCCAAGATCAGGGCAAGGAGGATGTGCGACCCCACCTTCTACTCCGCCAGATTCGGCCGCCTTGCTAGCGGCCTCCTGCACATCTGGGGAGGATGCGAATGTCGCAAGTCCTCGGTATACTTACGAGGAGTATGCTGTCCACTTGGTTCCACCGCTGGACCAACCACGCCAAGTGCAACAGTCCACCGCATGCACGGTTTCATCACCATCGGCAACCGATTTGGCAGCTTCGCCGCAACCTATCGCCGACGATTTGACGTCATGGTCAAGACTTGAAGAGCTCGACCCATCGACGTTCACGGACTTCCAGTGGATGCCCGTTCCCTCGACCGGACGATTGCCGAAACCGCATTGCAACGCGCTTATGACACAATTGCGGGACTACTTGCACACTGCAGTACCAGCTCCGTTGATGGATGCCGGAGCAGAGGTTGTCGACCTTCACGCTTTCATCGCGAAGATCGACCGCGAGTTCAAGACGCAACGGTACGATGACATCGACGCACCATTGCTATACATACGCATTCAGATCGGAGAGGCGACCTGCAGTGCCTTGATCGATTGCGGAACATCTCGCAACTACATCAGCCAGGACTTCATGGTACGCGTCGGCCTTGGCCCACGTGTCCGGAGGAAGTCCCAGCCTACGCAAGTCACCCTGGCAGACGGTCATGCGCACAAGTCCATCGACCGGTGCATTGACGCCGTCCCAGTGTACTTTGCCCCTCACGCAAGTGAGGCGGTGTCCTTTGATATTCTGGATACCAAATTCGACATGATCTTGGGCATGTCATGGCTGCGAAGCAAGGATCACCCGGTGAACTTCTTCAATCGCACCGTTCACGTTCGTGACCGGAACGGAGTATTAGTTCCATGCACGGTGCCTCTTCCTCATCCTTCGATCAACTGCCACGTGGTATCTGCCGCAAGCATGCGAGCTTCCATCATTAGAGAGGACATCGAGGAGATGGGGGTGTGTTTTCTCCACGCCCTCCCGCCACATGACGCTTCATCGACGGACTCACCTTCGGATCCACGCATCACCGAACTTCTCGACGCCTACAGCGRCGTGTTCGAAGACCCGCTTGGAGTAGTACCGGATCGACCCATCCGCCACGAGATCATCCTCGAGGACGGGGCCGTACCTCCGCGCGGTTGCATCTACCGAATGAGCGAGGAAGAGTTAAGTGTGCTTCGGGCACAACTCAACGACCTTCTAGAGACAGGCTGGATTCGGCCTAGCTCATCGCCATACGGTGCTCCTATTCTCTTCGTCCGGAAGAAGAACAAGGACCTGCGGTTGTGCATCGATTATCGCAAGCTCAACGCGCAGACGATCAGGAACGTCGGCCCTCTCCCACGCATTGACGACCTTCTCGAACGATTGGGCGGTGCCCAGTTCTTCTCTAAGTTGGATCTCAAGTCAGGGTACCACCAACTTGAGATTCGCAAGGAGGATCCCTACAAGACCGCGTTCAAGACTCGGTATGGGCATTTCGAATGGCTGGTCATGCCATTTGGCCTTACGAATGCCCCAGCCACTTTCCAAGCGGCTATGACGACGGAGTTCCGACACATGCTGGATCGTTTCGTACTTATATACCTCGACGACATTCTGGTTTACAGCCGGAGTCTGGACGAGCATGTGGAACACCTGCGCACCGTTTTGGAGCGGCTACGACAGGCCAAGTACAAAGCAAACCGCGACAAGTGCGAGTTCGCACAGCAGGAGCTGGAGTACTTGGGACACTATGTGACGCCGCAAGGCATCCGTCCGCTTGCGGACAAGATCGAGGCCCTACGAGTATGGCCGGAGCCCACCAACACCACGGACGTTCGTTCATTCATGGGGTTGGCGCGCTACTATCAGCGATTCATCACCGGATACTCCAGGATTGCTGCACCTATGACGAGGTTACAGTCGCCAAAGGTGCCATTCGTATTCGATGACGACGCACGCCGGTAATTCCAAACACTTAAGACGGCTATGCTCATGGCACCCGTCCTTAGCATTTATGACCCCACCCTGCCGACACGAGTGACTACGGACGCTTCCTGCTATGGCATTGGGGCAGTCTTGGAACAGCACGACGGCGACGATTGGCACCCTGTGGAGTATTTCAACCACAAAGTGCCTCCCATCAACTCGCTTGATGATGCAAGGAAGAAGGAGCTGCTCGCATTCGTGATGGCTCTCAAACGCTGGCGGCACTTCCTCCTTGGGCGTCGTAGGTTCACATGGATCACAGACAACAATCCATTGACCTACTACAAGACGCAGGACACGGTGAGCAGCACGATCGGACGATG